CAAGTCTATCAGAACACAACAACGGCGCAGCACCTCCTTATTTGATTTTGTCATTCATTTTGTACACGGTAATTCATCATAATTCTTATCAATGACAGCAGTGTGAGTGTGATTTTATATATATATATATATATATATATATATATAGTGAAAAACTACTTGCAATAAAGATCTTGATACTGGTCATTTGAGTGCACAGTTTGTGATGTGCAACCTCACTCGTACGAGCTCACCGGTTGTCACCACTCGCACAACTGGCGCATTTCATCTCTTACACATCGTTATTAATCCTAGACTCATCTAGGCTAGCTCACTGTTCCCACTGCTGTATTCTGTTTTAAACAGCGTAAAGAAGCTATGCAGCTTGTACGTGATGCAATAGCTGCTGGAATCTTCAATGATTTGGGTTCCGGTAGTAACGTCGATCTTTGTGTGATTACGCAGGATGAAGTCAAACACTTCGAACCTTACGATGTGGCGTGTCAAGCAGGACAACGGTAGGTCTATGCTTTTATTCCCATAGAACACTTCGAATCCACACCATCTTCTGTACCTGTGAACGTTAACAGGCTTTATTTATCCATCCCAAATTTTGTTTGATACATAGCAAACAATTTCCCAAAGCACAGTCTCAATTTGGATATGGTTCTCCAGTCCTGCGCACCTTGTTCATTTATGCCACCACTAGCCTCTTTAGACGTTGGCCAGTTTGAAATTAGGTTCTTTATGTAAAACTACCGCCCGGGTACAGAAAGTAAGTAGTACAGGGTGAGGCCGTATACCACTTTATTGAAAGAATTCCCTCGGGAACCTCTTTTTTAAACCCAAAAATGCTTGCCCTGTTCAACGTTCTTAGACAACAGGCAGCGTTAGTTTGTACTTTGGATAGTCTCGATGATGATATTCGTCGCTCATCGAGGACTCTTCGTGTGACTCCATATAACACCAACCTTATCCACGCAATTTGGCCTTATATATATTTCACTCTGGAGACTTAGAAAACCTTTCCGTCTGCTGCTGCTCTTAAGGGAAATTATCGGAACCGCTGACCATTAGTAGACGAGTCTTCTAAGACAAATACACCATGCGGTGTCTTTTTACCGGTTCTGTTCTTGAACTGCGTGGCTGAAGTCCCGATTTGATCAAGGATGATTTTAAACCCAACTTTCAGATTGCTAAGCGGAGCTCCTGGTCCCGAACTTGTACTGGCCAGAGACCTCAATTTTTCATCACTCATGCAGTTGACTGAAGAGTAAGGAAGAGCCCACAATCGCGCATTCTTTTTAAGTATGATAAACGTACAGAATAGGCACACATAATTACCTCGTATCCGTAGCCATAATACAGAGTCATTTCGAAAGGAACAGGTAGCTGTTAACCCGAGTCTTGAACGTTTGGAGGTGGTAAGGAGCTGAGGAAACAAAAATGCTCCAGTCTTCCATGGTCGCATTGCTCCTGGAGGAAACGGAGAAAAGTTGTGTGGCACTGAAGGGTTTTTCGGGGTAGGAGTGACCAGCAATGAAGAGGCGGATTGCGTGACAGATGGAAGCGGAACACCAGATCAGAGTGTTGAATAACGCTTGTCGTGGTAGTGTTGACAGATTGAAGAAAATTCGGCTACGTCCCGGCGGCGCGAAGAAAGTCCGCAGGTCGTCGATATGAATAAGGTAGTGTGGTACACAGTTTTCCGTTGAACTTCATCCATGAGTGAGAGGTAAGTGGAAAGGGTCCCATCCCTGTGGTGGAGTGAATCGGTAGACGAGGGGCGATTGGGTGGGGGAAAATTTTCGGCAACAGACCAGAAGTCCGACTTTTCTGGAGGACCAAATCGAAATTATTTTGACACAAGAAAAGGTCGTTAAACCAAGAAGTGGACAGCTCAGGGATTGTGAAGTTATGACAGGGTCGTTGGTTAGGGTTGAAATGGGAAGATGTTTGAGATAAGTGAGGATTTGATAGTGATTAAGAATAATGATCAGCGCTCTGTTGGGTTTCTTTTCTCAGGTGAGGCAGATAGCTGGCAGTGGCAAGAAACGGATTTGGGAGGAAAAATGCGTCTGTAGATGTATGAATGCAACCAAAGGCAAACGAAGCTTGGTCGTTCATGAGTAGTAGAGAATATGCGGAAGACAGAAATCCAGCGTTGATTATATGGATCCGAGAAGTTACCCAGTCCAGACAAAATTCCAGATACTTATCCCTCAAGAAATTTTCACTCTGGTTGATCAAAAGAGGGTGTAGGCACAACATGGGCAATTTGGCGAAGAAGTTCTCGTATCACATCCGGTCGCAATTTTTCGAAAAGTTAAGACATACCAGCAGTCCAGGGCAGATGACTGTGCGCGAGGAATGCACACCAACAGGTCACTGGTAGAACGGTTGGTCCCTATTGGTGGTTGTTCAACAAGAATTACACTCGCAGAAGCTGTTTGACCAGGATAGACTCCCGAAATTGGGCCAGCTTGGAAGTTTTTAGGGTGAAGGGATATCTGTTTGAATGGAAAAGTGACCCACTTTTGGTGGTGGGGCGTACGCGCAAACTTTAACGGTAAGTGGGCCCAACAGTCAAACAGGTGGGAGAAAATAGCAATGACAGAATGAAGTTCTGGAGATCAATTTCGGAGCCTACCAGGTGGACTACGATCCGAACTGGTAGGTCCCTACAGACATTCCCGGTAGTAATGGTGGTGGACGGATATGTGGGTCTTCGAGAATGGACCTACGGAGGTATCGTTAGCGACACGATAAGGAGGAGAACGAATACGTGAAAGAGAAGAAAGGAATTTGTCCTCAGTAGGCTTTTTTCTTTACTCGTCCTGTTTGATGCAGTAAGAGGATTCAGCTGGTGACAACACACAAGAGTTGGATCAGTGCATTTGGTATTACTTCTCAATTGTACAGAGCCTGAGGATGTACGATGTATCCCATATGTAGTATTTTTATTGGATACTGTTCATTCCAACCCACTGGGAAGTTAGGGAGTCTCAACCCCTTGTGACAGGTCGAATTACCGATTTTCTATTCTCACTACATCTGCACGCCGGTATTACTTTTGGGATTCCTCGAATCGTTGCCAGGGTGACTGGTAGTCACCGCCAACTAACGGATTTCGTTCCACGTTCGCCTCCTCTAATTTGTTCTTGCTCGAAAAATGCGCAACTACTGCTTCCATGCATGTGTATCTGCTAGTGGCCTTTTCCTTTTTAACTCTGGCCACGCAAAGCAGTATTTTACTTCAAGACTGTCTCATACTCTTACATTCTTCTAGTAGCGCACTTTGCCCAATCTCGTTTTTCTGGTTTAGTTATGGCAAGCCACGAACAACCACAGCGTAATGTCTTAGTCTGGTACGGTGCAAAACCACCAGTAGTAGGAGGGTGCGTTGACGGACGAGGTTAACCAAAACGAAAAAAGAGGTGTATGGGTATAGGACAAGTGCCGGACGAATCTAAGTGTACTGGAGAACTCCATCATATAGTTATTCGAAGCCCTTTAGGACATGCTATTGTTGCACAGAGTAAATCAATGACAATCGACTGGTCAGCCATTTGGAGTCCGGGTGTTGGATCATCTACTAGACTGGCCTGTGGGTGCCCATCTATTGAGCGACCCAAAGGCTGATTTACTGATTAGAAATAGAGAGTATGTCAAAACGGTTTAATATGTATGGCTATTGTAAAGGACATCCCACTGGGTTGAGCAGTGAGGAGCTCCTTCGGGATAATAGTCCTCGCGACCCTGACGATAGTTAAAGTGGTCTTCAACTTCAGTTCTGTCTATCTTGAGAATATTTTCCGGCTTGTCGCTACAATCTACTTCGTCGTGAACACTAAATAAATGACCACTGGCACAGTTATTAGAGAACCTTCAGCTTCCTATCGCCGAAGCATGTTCAAGATCGTGTGAGTACGTCAAGTGGTGTTGTCACACCCTAGAGTTGTTTTTGGATTCAACGCATCCACATACGTGGTTGACGTACTGGTGATACGCTACCCAATCATTTCTGAGCCACAATCACAACTAAAAGCGCCTTCCGTAGGCCTTTCCTCAGTCCATGCTGAGAACAAATGTCCTCGAGGAATTTATGTTATGTACACGTTATGTAACGTGTTTTAGTGGGATTCCAATAATCCCTCACTACTGGCTTAAGGCGTGGTGCATCTGGTGACATCACTGAACCAGTTTGACTGGCAGACCTTTTTTTATTTCACTTGTTTCCGTTTGCGTTTTAGCGAGGCCAAATACAACCCACCTGCCGGCGCCACCGCAACCCTCACGAGTAAAGTGCAAAAAGTGGAGTTTGATGTTGTTACTACCCGTGTCATTCGTGATATGCCTGATCCACGCGCGGAGGCAATGGATGTGTCCTAACATGTGCTACTTGGTTTACATGGTTCCTGTTATAACAGCATGTACTGTCATTTTTTGTGTGTTTACCTATTCCGGATTCAAGATTAATGGAAACAGGGCTAGTATGGGTTGAATCAAGTTGCATGTATTAGCCAGAGACAACCCACTGATTACTTCGGATTCTTTTGCGGAAGGGTTTGGGATTCGATCAAATTTAGGCGTTTTGATTGTTTTATTCCAGGTGGCCGTGAGGTCCCTCAGACTTATTACGCTCTGCATTGGAGCCAAGACCATGACGAAATGGCGAGATGGCTCGGTGGTTAGAGCGCGAATTTACTGACCGGAATGTCTGTGGTTCGAATATGACTGCCTCTCGATTTTTCCTGTCTAGGCTTAGGTAACCTGGCAGTATACCGGCCCTCCTTTATCCTTCGGATGGCATGGCAGCTAGGCACTGAAAAGGTGTTACGGCTGAACGGTTATTATTTTACCATTATCCAAGACCGTGACACAGTTGAACGGTTGTTCTGTTTAGTGAAAGCAACAAACATAGGGCCGTTCACGGGGATTTGTGCGATCCTTCACGATGTTTGCAAAATATTGCTCACTTTACCGCCGAGGAACAACAACAACTTGTTTAAAAGCGTCCAGCTGTAGCACCCTTCCGGTGCCTAGCTGCCATGCCACCCGAAGGGAGCACGAGGGCTGGGATACTGCCAGGTTGCCCAAGCCGAGTGGCGGAGGTCGGATTCGAACCGCGGACCTTCAGGTTAGTAATCCGCGCTCTAACCACTTCGGCCATCTCGCCCCCCAACAACTTGTTTATGACTTCCTGAACTACTTCAAACAATTACTGAGTAGAGATCACCATATCGTTACCCGCACCGCAGGGGGAAGGCTATGCTCGAACTTGAAAACCATCTCCGACTGGTATTCTTCTGGCGCGTCATATTAGAGGGGTGAAGGTCTAAGCCAAGTGATCAAATCATTAACAAACTCAGTCAAGATAATTCGGGGAACTAACCTAACCAAGTGCTGGCAATCTTAACTTTGCACCACCTGGAGCCGTACATCGGACTTCGCCGACTATTTCATTTCCGTGGTGCCTATCGTGTCATGAACACATTTCAACTAAGATTCCGTCTTTCAGGTTAGATCAATATGTGGGAAAAGGCCGAGCCGCGCCGCACGGCGTTATCTTCCTTGTTGGAAATTTTCACCAGTGCGCACCTCACGAATCTCTCGGATGGTTTGACTCCACGATCTGCTGGTTATTGGCTGCGCCCTATGTCACTCGCCTTCGATTATCTAATTGGCAATGTGATTGGGTTTACTTTGGAAACAGCACCGTTGGTCCTTCATCAACGTATTTCACGTCACATGATTGATTGTCTCTTCGAGCGACGAATTCTCTCCCTGAGCAAATTTCAAGGTATTATGTGGAGATTAACTGATTTATACCTTCATCACTTCCGCTGTTTAAGGCTTATCATGTAAGCGTAGTCCATGAATTTCGGGTGGTGGTATTTCGTTAATGTTTAATTCGAACACAAACAATAGTGGTATCCGATTCTCATGTTTCGACAACCTTAGTTCGCAGGTCACTGATTCGGTTTTCAAAACTTCTCATGGTGTTGCCGGATACACGAAGTCGTTCATCGTTCTGTTTATGGCTTAAATTTGATAGTTGTTGACGGCGTTGTGCTTGTTCGCCGTGGTGTTCCTCGGCCTAACGGGACGGAGTGTGATGTCCCTTATTTGGTCTGGATAAGTGATACTAGGCCTGACGGGGTTTTGGAAATCACGAAGTACAGAAGCGTGAGTGTGCTCCATTTATTGAGGCGCATTGGCTAGACATATACACCGGAACGGAGTACCGCATGCCGTTGCACTGGGAGTTACTTGCGACATTGTTATCCCAACTCGTGCATAACATGTGTCTTCGGAAGTAATTTTTGTTCCAACCACATTCTCGGCCGGATACTCGTGTAATTCGGACATTCTGTCTCTGTCGACCATATTATTGGCTATACTTGTAACTCAACGGTAGCCTCAAATTCTAATCGAATTTCGGTAGCCACATACTTTAAACATTCACTTTTCAGCACATACATAGCAGTTTAACATCTGCAAAACTAGACAGAGTCTAGCAAATCGCTAAAGAAGACAACATACGCGTTTGTAGGATTGATCTCGGATACTAACTTTGGGGAATATTTGGTTCTGTGTTTGTCACCCGGTTCTTTTGAGTAGATGCAAGCAGTAAAGAACTAAGTTGTCCATATATCACTAGCCATTTTTCGTGTTCGGCTATTGCTGAGTCTGCCCTTCCTAGGCAGTAGGATTCATTTTATCACCTTATCTCACTGAGATAAGATGCACCTTACAAGTAGTCGATGAATTTGCTATCCCCTCACCCCTAATTCATAGCACAGACTCCCTTTACATAAAGTAGTGCCCTAAATTAGTCCTAAGCGGACATCTCTTCTAGTGTAGGGCTTCTTAGTAATCTTTCCTGAGAGTCTTAAAACGTCTAGCTTGTGCAAACCCGCAGACTTGAAGGGGCTAGGGAAGAGAAAGATGCTGTTTCGGATTTCGACATAGATGTCCTGTTAGCGTCAACTTCTGGACTTGGTCGCTATTTCCTGTTGATGTGATATCAATCGGCCGCTAGAACAGTCCTGAACAAACTGTAAGCTATTGGATCGTATGTCTTTGTTTTCAGAAAGCATGGTTTCCAAAACATGAAGTGAAAAACATCCATACAATGCTCGCTAACTGAAATGCGCAACAAGACTTCTTTAGCTCGTAAAGAGCTTTGTTCTCGGGCGAATAAGGTAAAGCAAAATAGCTTAAGTCATGGATTTTTGTGAGAAATAGGAATGCAATTCGGTTTAGGCCATCAGTTCCGATGGTGCAGCTCGATGTATGAGGAAGACCGAAAATCCGTTGACTTTCATTGGCTGCATCATTCTGAAAGAATACAAAGAATCAGTTGTGCTTATTCAAAGGAACTGTACGAGACGCTGAATGAACTGACATTCACCGTTGTGGATTTTAGGGGACTCATCTAGTCATGTCACCGGAAAAGTCCCTTGGGATTCAGTCATCAGGTATTCTAAAATATACATTGTTTTGTAGTAAACCTTCAGGAATATTGCACTATATCGTGAAATCCCAGTTGTGCATACTTTGCATTCTGTGTAATCCGTTTAGTTCTGACTGCAAGTGTTTTTAATGAACACAAAAGACACAAGATAATCAGTCCATCAAACAATGGGCGTTTGTGTTTCCAAAGTTGTACTCCTCATTTGTGGTGAAGGCTGGCTCAGTAACATGTGCAGTTGAGAGGACTATAAAACTCCTAGATTAGGTTCCATGAATCACATACGGACTTGTCCGAACTGGATCTGTACGCGAACTGCGGACATCGATTCCGTTGATGTTGAGCACTAAGTACTCATTTCACAAACGAAAAAAAATAGGGAACGAAGGTTGACGTGTCAGCAGCATGCACTGTTCTGATATGCGAAATCCTCATCCTCTTTTTAGTATTGAGTTCATCCATCTCAAAAGTGAGAATCAGTGTCGTTGGTTTTGAGCAATATACGAAAGCTTCGTGGTGCTTAGGTACCGCTGAACACCAGCCCTTCGCCGCGTTATCATCTTGTTTTACTTGGAACGGACAAAAACCAGCCATAACACGAATCTTGTGCGAGTAATTCCAAACCACCACGTATCTAAACATCTATTTAAACCATTTGAATGCCAAATATTAGAAAATGTGAGTTAAAAGGTTGAAATCCGTTTGAAGTGTAACCTGTGGGAATATGTGGAGTGCGCATAGTACAGATGATTTAATGCATTATAGACGCAAATTAAACAAAATAGGTGACCATAATGTGTGCTCGACAACCGGAAATCCGGTGTTCATGCCCATACAAACACCAATGAAGGTATAGTAGGCCGAGAGTTCAGTGATTAAAGTGCGAACTTACTGGCCGGAATTTCCCTGGTTCAAATCCAACCTCGTTTTCCAAACTGCTGTTGACTAAGCTTAGGCGGCCTGCCAGTATCTCAGGCCTTGTGCTTCCTGCAGGAAGCATGGCAGCTGAGCAATCAAAGTATACTACAGCTGAACCATTATAGAAGTACAGTTTAGAATTTGTGCCAAGCCTAATTCAGACCTTGCTTTTAACACTACTTTTAGGTGGCGTTTACCATTTTGTGGAAACCAGTATCCCAGTTGTGTCTTGAAACCAATCGAAACTAAAATGAATTTATAAGCCTGTCTGCTGCGGAATTGCTGTCACCCATGAAAACCAGCTAACTTAAGGGTACTCATGAAACCGTTCTTCTTCGTCACCTCACCAACCAGGCTCATCTGTTTTGAACAATTGTGCGTAAACACACGTTGGTGAAGTCCATTGTATTCGAGGTTCCCGAGTAGGAGCTTTGTCCTAGTTTGGCACAAGAAAAAAGATTTCTCAGTAGGATTGCCGATCGTTCTTGGTTGCTCAAACTGAAGAGCTTCACTGACCAACTTACAGCATCGACGTTAGTTGTCAAGAAATGGATTTTGTAGGTGGTGTTCAGACAAACCCGCCTGCTCATCAAGCCAACTTTGTCTACTTGAACGTGAACCAGAATGGATTGGAATGCAAACCGTTCGCTGGGTTTCTTTGTATTTGGCTTCCCGATCACCTGTATTGCACAGAACGTTACTGTGTGTAACCTTAGCCTTTTAGCACCACTTCTGTAAGACAGCAGGCGGGTAAGCGAAAACATGCTACTGGTGACGCCTTCCTTCTTTCACTTTCACGTTTTCCGTCTTCCGCCCTCCCCCGCCCAAATTTTAATACTTTATCCGCAGGTCCCAGCTCTAGGACTGACCGTTTTGCTCGCCCTGCATCACACTCAGCTGCAGCTTCTGCACGTCCGAGTTCAGTTACAACCCTAAACACTTCGAAGTCTGTTTTCAAACCC